GGCTGTTGTTGTTTCTTATTTTTATTACTAATGCTCGTTTTTTCGTTTATATCATTTTGTTTAATTTAATAAATGTGTATTTTTTTTGTCCATTGAGTATTTATTCAATTCTTACACGCTACCTAAATTATAAGAATTGCTCGGCTTGAGGGCTGTGTAAAAGCCAACGCTTACAGGGGAGTGGGGAATACGAAGAGAGAAAAGGTAAAAAGAACTAGAGGAAGGGAACAAGGGAAGAAGAGGAGAGAGAGAGGCAGAGGAAAGAAGGGAGAGTTTGGGAAGAAGAGAAGAGAGAGAGGGAATAATGATAACAGACAATAATGATAGTGTTATCGTAATATTAATAATGAAACTAAAATGACAAAAATAATTATGATAATGACAATAACAATAATAGTAACATTAATAATACCATAACACGATAATAATAATAATTACGTTAATAATGATAATACTAATAAGTAATGGTAAATATAATAAGGAAAATAACAATAACCAGTAAGAATGATAATAGTCAAATAATTATAATGATAATAAAATAATAATATTACTACTATTAAAATAATAACAATTTTAAGCAAAGTGAAAATAATGTTAACTATTATGATAATAATGTCAATGACAATATTTCAATGTTAATGAGAATAGCAATAATAATAAAGATAATCAGATATAATGAAAACGAGAATGAATGTAACAGCAATTATAATTCCTAGGATTGAGTAACGAGAAACAATGAAGCAAAAAGAATCAAAATGGCAGAAATAAACTGAAGTAATAATTATAACAAAATATCTATGGAAACACGATGGCTGGAACAAGGACTCTACTGACATTAATATCATGACAAACTTCAATGATCCTGATTACGATAATAGTAGTATCATTTTTTACAAAAATAATAATAGCAAGAACTAGAATAATGGCGATGTATGAATAATCAAATTATATGTAACAGTAATAACAATGGAAACGAATGCACAAGGAAATTCCAATAAAACAATATGAAGTACATTGACATAAAAGCTACAATATTAAATATAACAAAATATTGAGAATGAAACTATATGCCAGCTGGAACAAGTAATCTAATAATATTACCATTAATGAGAAAACATTGGTGGTAATCACATACATGATTATAATAATGAATTAATACACTAAAATAATGACGATCGTATGATAATAAAGATAAACCCATTAATAAAGGTATGAATAAAGTAGGAACAAGAATAAGTTAAAGAACAAGAAAGACAATAAGAAGTGGACTGTTTGCAAGAAATGGCAGATCTGAATACTTCTCGGAAACGAGCGAGTGAAAGGATCAAAGAATCTTCCAAAGAAACACACACAAAAATCCTAAAGAGAAACGGCTAATAACAGAAATTTAATAATAATGAATAATAATAAATAATAATAAATTATATAGTTTAATAATTCAATAACTTATTAAATGAAAGCATAGGCAGGGACAGGAAGGGCCCCTCCAAGTGTGGCGCATAATAATTGCCAATTTGCATTTCTTGCATTGGGAATGACTGCTTTTTGAGATTTGGCAAGAAGAAACACTGGCCTAGAGCTTCCTTCTCTCCACATACACATACACACATGTATGCACAAACGCACGCACGAGAGCACACGCACATAAACAGACACACACACACACACACATCATTTGACAAATTTCTCCAATATAATAGATCATGAGAACAAATATTGGCTTTGGGAAAACAGAAAAATGAGGTTCATAAGCACTCAATACAGAAGCTCAGACCAACAATTAGCACAAACAACACTGGGTGTGAAGAGAACAGTCACAAGGTGCCATGCAACATGCAAAAATAATGGCATGCAATCCACTTTTTTTAATCACATATAACGCGGGAGTTTGGAGATAGGTGCCAACTAGTCTATTTTCCCGAGACAATATTTCTACTCAAAATGTTTTGTTTCACAAATCGCCATATGAAATGAAAATAAAGAAGTGATCCTTTTTCAATTAATTGGTTGTATTTCTCAAACAGTCATGAGGATTATAATATTACGATTATAATAATAATAATAATAATAATAATAACAATAACAAAATAATAATAATAATAACAACAACAATAATAGTTATAATAATATTAATAATAATGATAATAACAATAATAATAATGATTGTAATAATAATAACAAAAATTGTAATGACAATATAAATAAGAATAGTAAAGATGATCATAATAATAATAGTAATAATAATAATAAAAATAAATAATAATGAATAACAAATAATAAATGATAAATATAATAATATAATATAAAATACAAAATAATATAAAATAATGTAATAAATAATAAATAATGATAATAATAAAAAATAAAAATAACAATAATAATAAATAAAGGAAGAGAACTGATAAAGGAAGCAGGAAAAATAAAATAAAGGAAGAGGGAAGAATAAAAAAAATGGGATAAATAGAAAATATCAGTGAGATGGAGGAAAAGGAAATAGAGGAAAGAGCAGGCACAAAGGAAAATGAAAACAGAGGAAGAGCAAAGAGTAGGAGAAAAGAGAAAGGAGGGAAAGGGAATGGGAGAAACAGGAGTAAGACAGAGAAATGAGAGAGAGAAGAAAGGAAGAGGAAAGAGAGATAGGGAGGTAGAGAACAGAGAGAGTGAGAAAAAGAGGGAAGGGGGAAAATAGAAAGTCAGGAAAGGAGAGAAAGAAAAAGAGAGGAAGATAAAGCGGAATAAAAATGAGAAAGGGAAGGAAATGAAGGATACAGAGGAGAAAAAGAGGCAGTGAGAAAGGATATGGAGAGAAAGTGTAAAATAAAGAAAATGAGATGAAAAATAAAGAGAGAGGAGAGTTGAACAAGAGATCCGGGGGATGGGGGGGGGGGTAAGATAGATGAGAGAGAAGGTAAAGAGAAGTGGAGGTAGAGGAGAGAGGATGGAAGAAAATGAGAGAGGGTAGAAAAGAGAAAGAGGAGAGAGTTGGAGATA